AGGACAGTGATTTCTATAATAATATTAGCATTTTAAAAGTAGATGTTCCAAAGAACAGATTATTTATCAAATTTTAATCTTTTGTTTAGAAAAATATCTTTACGTGAATCCCAGGTGCCCTTAGAAATACTTGTTGGATGAAACATAAAATGCTAAAACAGCTCAATGGGCTTTATAATAAATATAAAAAAATTGTTTGTTTCACAGTTAATAATGTATTTGATAATAAATATCTCTTATAAGGGGCATTTCAGAGACTAAGAAGGCATTTTTTTTACATTAAAAATAAAATCTGTACTAAATTAAAATCTGTTCTAAATTTTATTAATTTTGTTAGAAGAGCTAGCAACATTACACTCCCCTACATCAAGGCCAATAATCCCCCCACCAAAGAATCCACACATAGATACACCCATAAAATATATACATGCAAATGTATGTCTACATATTATATATATGTGTGTGGATAAATATATAACATTATCATATTTCTAAAAAGTATCATGGCTAACAAGATTATAGATAGACCAAGATAGCGTGAAAGTGGGGGATTAGAGGAAAAAATTTTAAATTGCACAAAATATAGTTTGCAAACATAGTCAAATATTCTAGAAAGCATCCTCTTTCAAAATTCACATAAGAAGTCTGCTCCATTAGGTAACCCTTCTCCTGAATCACCATCATCAGTTGTTCAGGAGCTTTGGCATGACAGCCTGAGCTACGAAGGTAGAATCTTCTATTAAAGTTTTGAACCAGCTTGAAATGAAATGTCTCTGTGCTCACATTTTCTTATGTAACAGCCTGGCCTTTACACAAATTATTTCAGTGCTCAGGGGCATGTTTCTCTGGGCCTTGTCTTAGCTCCATCTATGATGAAAAGATGAAGTATTGAAAGTCTCCTTAGTCTACAATCCTAGGGAGGCCTCCCACAGACTGGGGGCAGAAGGAATAGGGTCGCATTCGCTGTTGCTGGCTTTACTGGGATGAGCTAAACAAAGCACATGTAAAATAGAAAAGATTTTAAACCAAGGGTAAAAAAACCCAACAAACCAACAAGCTTGCATTATCTCAAATCCATGGTTGGTAAGGAATTTTGTGTGTGTGTGTGTGTGTGTGTGTGTGTGTGTGTTTGCGAACATGTGTGTGTACACCTTTCAGTGGATTAAAAAGTCGCCACTGAACAGCTACCATGTCTAGTGGGCAACCCACGAGGCATGTCAAACCCAACAATTCCGAAATGGAATTCCTTGTCTTTCCCTTAAAACTCATTTTGTGTTTAGTAGCGCAGGACTATTGTCTTAGATTCTCAAACTAGAAGCCTCAAAGGTCTGCTTTGACTGGTATAGCTAGCTCTCCCTGCCTCCACACCCACTCATCACGCTCTGCTGATGCACATCCAACACGTCCCCCAACCCCATCCCCACTGCAACACCCACATGAGTTTCCAATTACACTCCTGACACAGCCCCTTGACTGGTGTCTTTGCTCATAACTGCTCACTTTCCCACACTATCATCTGCATTGCTTTCAGAGTCATGCTAGAGCACATATTCGAAGCTCATAAAACAACCTGCTTCAATTTCTGATGGCTCTCTCAACAGCCAACATGCACTGAGTATTACCATATTCCAGCCATTATACCAAAAGCTTTACACATGTTATCTTATTTTCTCTTTATTGCAATCCTACAAGATGGGAACAGTGACTGTCACCAATTATAGATGATAGAATTAATACATATAGAGTTTCTATAACTTGATCATGGTACCCATGATGGTGGGTGGTGGAGCCAGCGTTCACCTAAGTGGTCTTGACCACTCCATTAGACATCTTTCCTCAGTCTGGCTACAAATAACCCTCCAGTCTTTTTTACAGGATCTAGCAGATTGTGAATTTCTCAAAACTCAGTGATTATACATCGAGTGTCAAAAGCCTTTGAACTACTGAGCTAGAACTGAGGGGGCGGCACGGGACTCTCAGCAGCTGTCACCTCCCCTCCAAATGAGGGTGTTTCTTATGACCCACACGTGGTAATGGAAATATCTTGACTTCAAACAAAGAAAAGTTAGCACAATATATGCTGCAGATCCTTTGACAGGACTCTGCCTTGTAGAATAAAGAATTACATTTCAAAACATTGTGTTTCAGATAATAATCACATGTCACTAGTCAACTTTGCTTCTGTACCTCTTATCACAACTCACGAGAACCACTTGATGAATGTCAGGTAGAAAAATGGCAGAGGGACATCCACACTCTTGCAGAATAACTCAGACTGTAGTTGTAGTCACAGATTTGTAATTAGAAAGGACCATTCTGAGTTGTCACATAACTTCTAAGAGGAAATAGCCATATAAAAAAAAAAACATATTGCTAAAATTGCCCTGACATATTCCACACACACGGTTTGATAAATATTTTATTGTTATTCCAGGAAAAGCTTTTAAAAGAATACATAAGAGCAATTATGGGGAAGGGATGCTCCTTCTCTGAGACAGTGGGAATGCTGCTAAGGAGAGAAAGGACAGGCTCATCAAGGTATGATGGCTGAAATGTACACGTAGCACCCACAGGGCCAGAGTCCCAAGTGGCTCATCTTTCTTACTTGTTAACAACAGAAACCACACACAAACATCTCTGATGCACTGTCCTGTGTGACTCCAATAAATTTGAGGCATTCGGCTTGTGTGTGCCCATTGCCGTATTTCTGCCTGACAATTATCCACGCCCCCACACAGAAAGCGTGGCTGGAGGAAGGCCTGGCTCCTTGAAACTAATGATCCAGTTCTTAAGACTGGTGCTCAGCGCTGCACTGCTAGGCTCTGACATCCAGCGCCTCAACCCAGGTCTGATTTTTAACAGTTAGGCAAATAATCACCACCCTCATCTTATTTAAATTAAATTGGAAAAACTGTAATGGTCCACATTAATTGGGTCTCGTTATAATGTTAAAGATATTTCAGATTTTTTTTCTTTCAGCCACTTACCAGTACTATCTTAAAGGCCTTCCTTCTAGTCAATACCCTTTATTGAAACGTGTACGTGCAATGGAGGTTTACATTTCCCTCCTGAAAGAGAGGCTGCTGACATCATCAAAAAATTTCCATGAACAATGATCACGCACAGCCAATTATAAACCATTATAAGAAAAATGCTATTTCTGAAATATTCAAACAATGCTATTTAAAAGCCTGCTGCTATTCTGTTCAAAGGTATACATGCCTTTATTTGAGATGACACCTAAAATTTGAAATGATAGAGAAACTGCTGCTTTGCAAGCCATTCTACACAGGGCATAAATATTCTTAAACTAATCAAGAGCAGAGGCACTTTATTAATGCCATTTAATTACATAAACAAATATAACTAAAAACTGTGCAAACATCCCCCAAAGCTGTAGTTAGCCAAAAGAGAAATAACAACTCTTAACATTTTTTTAAGCCCACAAAAAGGCTGCTACGGTAGTTTCTTTCCTTTTCTTAAATGGCCTTTAAATAAATATATGAGTCAGTAAAGAAAGGCATTTACTTGAATTAAAGTGATCATTCTGCCAGGATGTCAGTATAATTAATTGTGGGTGGCAGAAGTTTCAAATGAGGCTAAATTAGGGTGTCTAAGTTTATTTATTTATTTTTTTACTCATTCTCCTGCTGTAATTAGAGAAGCTTTTGGTGGCTCTTCAAATTGTGCCTTGTCATGGAATAACCATACTTAAACATGTTTTTATGACAAGCTCAACAGTATATGTTTTTAATGACCAAGATGGGGGCAAAATGCATATGCATGAATCCAACCTCCTCCTACTCTTACTACACAAACATACACACACACACACACTCCCTTACACTGGTTTTGTTTCTTCTGGCACCCTGAAGTTTTCATCCCTGATATTATACTGTTCAAATTTATTTTAATGCCTTCAATGTCAAAGACAAAATTGTTTTAGTCACAGAGTTTTATTCCTGGTAAGCTATATCATAAAAGAAGTCAAAACACACTGCCTTTAAAATCTCTGGTAGCTTATGCTACCTGGACTAAGGACTGTGATAGCTAAATTTCATAAACAAATATATTTTACTACTGATCCAGTGGGTGGTTTGTGGTGTAGAATGTGTTTTAAATGACGTATCCCCTTAGAGGAGCTGACAGCGTCTCAAGACCTTGAAGGCACTGGACCCCAGTAAAGCTGATACCAGCTGAGTAACTGAACTAATGAGTTTCAGGAGACAGAGAATCTATACACAGCTGGGAGAATTCTGCATTGAGTGCAGAGAGCACCGAAATGGGTAGTAAGCCACAGCGTATAGCTTCTAAAAGTTCGTTATAGCAAAGAAAAAAGAAAAAAGTTCCATCTGGGAAGTAATTTTAAGCTACTCATTTAAGTGACATTACAATACTTCAACAATCATGCATGTCTATTTGTCAAGTAAAGATATTAAAAACAAATAGATTTTTAAAAGATACACAATTGGCCACTAAGGTCTGTACTCTGAGATTAAAATATCAGAGGAGAGTGAAACATTTTCAACACTGCATCCTAAGATGAAGATGGAAGCATCAGACTAAAGAGTTCTTATGCTATTACACTGGACATACTGTAATATTTATAAAGAATTTTTGTTTAGCTCATCAATATTGATTCCATCTACCTTTGCCATCCCTAAGTAACCGATTTTTTTCATTAACTATGTGCATTTTACACCCACTGTTCTAAGCACAAAAGGATCAAACACCACACTTCCTGCAGTCTAAATAAAATAGCAGTGTAGTCTTCAAAACGGTGAATTTGGAATGATAATCTGCATTCCCAATCCCTTAACTTCAAAGCAAACACTAATTGCCTTGTGGACAATGCAGCAGGGTTAACAAATTACATGCCTCCCAGTCCTGAGCATTTAAGTGCAGAACGAGAGCAACAAACAGGCAAACCTTCTGCAGCAAAGGATGCAGACTGCAAAAGAAGCCGGCAGCTAGGAAGAATTCATGCTTCTTTTACCTACCGGCGTTGTCCATGTCTCAGGAGTGGTGAGGCGAGTTCTGTAGCCTGGCAGCCGGGAAACCCTGGCTCTTCTGGCTAACGGAGCACCCTGCCCTTCTAATGATTATCAACCCTTGCTGGCATACTGAGCATATTTCATGCACTGTCTGCAGGAGACACCGCCAGGAAATTAATATCTCCAAGGATGACAAACAGCCATTAGCTCCATTACAGGCTGATTAAGAGAGACTGAGCCTATCAAGTGGGTACTTGAATCCCCTGGGGTTTCTACCTCAGTTCTAAGCAAAGGAGGAAAAAAAAAAAATCACTGCATTGTCGAGTGTGCTGCACATTTCAGGAAAAAAGTGCACATGCTATGCAAGACACAGTGCTTTCCAAAAGGTGCCAGGGCAAACAGTAGCAGAAAGAGACCCAGATCATGACAAGGTAAAAAGGAATCTTTAAAAATAAATAACAATACGTGATCCTTTCCTTGGGGTTAGTCTAAATGTGGTTCAGCCTTTGTCACTGACATCACTGAATGACTGGGCAACTTTTCAATTTAAAATTTTAAAGTGTTTTGGTTGTTGTTGGGGGAGGGGAGCAGGGAGTAGCAGATAAAACATTGAAACATAAAGGCTACCTTTAATATCTCTGCTCTAAATAAATGCTGAGACGCTGAGTATGGCCGGTCCACTTTGGTTATGTTTTCATCATGACTACCTTTTCCTATTTCTGATCAGAATTTCTGCCCACCTATCCTAACAGAAATTCAAAGGATTTTTACTAAATGTCACTAATAATACAAGCAGTAATTGTCAAAAGAGGTCAGGGGACTGTAGGGTATGTTATCAGCTGCAGCTGTGGAAATTGCAAGAGCATGAAAAATGTATCGACTAACAAGAAAACCCATTTCACTTCTGTTCTTTAATTTGGCTATGTAAAGATGACCCTCAAAGATACCAAAAACTGCTTACGACAGATGCCAGAACGCAGGGATGAGCAGAGTGCTGAAGAAATCATGTGTGTGGCCTTCTGGCTGGGATGACATTACATTCTAGGGACAACGCAACTCTGTGTTTTCTGCATTTCCTTAGATATAGTAAAAAAGATTCACAACGACCTCATTTGACCTATGATACGATGAATCCACAGTACAGTAAGGCTCTCCAGGTTTTTTATTTTGACAGGTTTTTAAAAACACAGTTCATGGTGTTATCATACCTCCAGGGTTGCTAAATTTGAAAAGCAATTCGTTTATTAAGCATCTCTTTATGCCATTGGAAGTCCTAGTGAAAAACCACTTACAAATTATTTATAATCTAGTTCCCAATGGCAACAGTTTCCAAGTTTAAGTATTTTTGTTTTGAATGTAACTTCAGGTTTTCCTATAGATTTGAGGTTCTTTTATTGTTGGAGCAAAATACTTCATTTATGATATCAGTGATAGTTCCGAAATGATTTCCTCGGAGAAAAGCTGAACTTCTCAGTGATTTTAGCCTGAGATTTTTATCTGTTAGTGTAATTCTGTCACACAATTTTAAGGACATATCACTCTATGAATTTAAAAAAAAAAACCCAAAACACACATAGTTTACATAGTTTTAAAAAACACTGCTTGGATCCCAAAAGACTGAAATCACTGTGGCTTCCACACCTCATCTGCTTGCCCTGATTAAGACCTGCCAACTACCTAGAGTGAGTGTCATCAGCTCGAAATCTAGGACAAACTAGCTACTAACTATTTTTAATAAAAAAAAAAAAGAGGAGTTAATAGGAAATAAGAAAGACAAAAGAGAGAGTAGATATATCACGTCTGAGATCTTGGTGAGGAGTAAAGAAGTGTCATCTATTGGCGGTGCATATCGTCTAATATGAATATATTTATACTAGTTTTGTCCACAGTTCAAAATGTGACTCTCAGTTATTTTCATTAATACAGTTAGTCCCCACATGATGAGTGGATTATGTTCCAAAAGTTTGTTTTATTGGTCATTGGAAACACGATTTTTCTCATAAACACTGACTGGGTTCCAAGGACAGCCCATTAAATATTCCTTAACTCACAATGTGATTTATATAAGATCCACAATCCCTTGTACACATTTCTAAAATCCAGAAAGTTCTGAAGATCTTAAGTTGTTGGTTTCTTTTTTTTTTTTTTTAAGTCTGGCTCTAAAATACATTTTGGTGTCACAACCTGACTTGAAGTGATGTGATGCTATTTAAAATCTTTATTTATCCCACTTAGAGTAAATAATCATATTTTGTTATAGAAATTTTAATGTAATAGATTTTAAGAATCTGCCCAGACTCTGCTGGGGATGATACATGATACACAGTATATGCTTTATATTACTTTTCTAAAATAAAGAGATTCTCAAATCTGAAGCACAACTGACACCAAGGGTTTCAGATGAGGGACTATGTCCTTCAGTGCACTTTTGCAATTTAAAATGGTGCATGATTAGTCCGAAATCAAGGTTTCAAAAGTAAATAAATAAATAAAAGAGTACGTGATTAAGTATTGTGATGGACATGTTAATGAGCTTGATTTAATCATCCTACATTGTGTACTTATATCATAACATCGCATCCCATAAATATAAAGTTACAATTTGCCAAAAATTAAACTTAAATAAAATGGCAGAAAATGATCCTTAATGCTGTCTCGCCACAGGATCCCCTTACGTGTTTAGGAGCCCACTGTCTCCCTCTCTCGCCTGCTCGATACGCAAACCTCGCCACTCTGGCTGCAAGAGATGAACACGGGACGTGCAACACAGATGCAGGGAAGGATGCAGGCAGTGTTGTGTGTCCATTGGAAACCAGGCCCTGCCCCAACACTGCCTAAATTGCCAAGGACATATCTGCTTCCTGTCTCCTTGCTCTGGACATTGCCCCACCCCACCCCTCCTCGCCACCCCATGCCCGTCAACCCCAAGCATCAGAGGAAGCAATGTCATAATGAAAAGCACAGTAAGTGGATCGTTTTCCTCAAGCCCCAGCTCACTCCCTTGGCTTCATTCAGATCCACGATTCATATGCTCTCGTTGGGGAATGTCTGAATGAAAAATGTTCACCAGGCGCTTTCTAATTGCCCCTTTCTAATACCAGCAATGATAAGCCTGATGTTGTACATCATGTTTCTAAGTATGGGTTTAGTTCCCATTTTTATCAACCTTCCTGTACGTAGCTTTTCAGCTTGCTTAGAATCAGACTAACTTGTTCGAGCCCAGTGTGGGTAATTGGGTGCACCTGCATCCAAGTACCCTCCATGCTATGCAAAAGCACCTGCAAAAAGAAGGCTACAGCCCCTGACCATCTG